ACGCTGAGCTCGTCCTGACCTCCTGAGTCTCAAGTTATCGGCTGTCACTAATGTGACCCTCCTTGGGTCCTTGGATCATTCATAAGGCCATATTGAGGCTATAAAGACGCTGAAAAAGGCTTAGTTGATCAATACGTTCAAGACTAGCCAGAACCTTCTTCAAGGAATCAGGATGACTACAGCATTTCGATTTGACTAGTATAGGACAATATAAGGTCTAGCGAGAGACTTACCGGGCACTGATTTTAGCGCTTGGGAGAGAGTGTTAAGGACCACGTGACGTCGCACGGTCTTTTAGTCACATATACGTTGCTCTTAGGTCGTCCCAAGGTAAAAGTGGTCCGACAAGTACCGTTCACCTCCTCTAGGCCATGGCAGCGTTCAATGCCCCTCTTCTACTCCTCTATTACTCTCTATTCATACTTGATATTATTGACTGAAACCATAAGCCTCAAAATAATGCTTATTTTCAGTTCCAAATCGGAGGAGCTTTTCCACTCCATGAGGATGACTGCAAGACTTTGCAACCGGAGACGGTACAGGAAATTGTCGTCATCCAGTGGGCTCTGACTCACTGGAATCAGAATCCCGCCAATCATAATGCTAAATTAGGTAAGTCAACCAAATACAGTATAGATCATTCTGATCTTACAAATCTTTTTCCAGGTCTCTACGCAGGAGATACCTGTTCTCGAGCTCAAGAAGCGCTGTCACAATCGTTGCGATTCCTCGACTCTGTCGGTTACCATGAGCCAAAGGAATGTCGAACGGAGAACCCTGGAGCTAAACTGCTCGGTCAGTGGACTTTTGGACCGGATTCATCAAGGCCATGGACCGTTTTGCAACGGTCGTCGGCTGGTTTATCCCTAAAACGGTGGAATTAGTGACTGCATAAGCCGACTGGCCAGCCGGCGAAAGCGATAAGTAGCTAAAACGAAGAGGTTGAGGGTTGCATTAGCTTGGGGGTAAAAACTCTTCTCATTGAATGAATCATAGGGGAAAAGGCTCTTTAGATCAACTCCCAGCACTTAGGCTGCGGAATTCTCATGAATTTTCAGGTCTTGGTGGGCATTCAGATGTTCTGCCCCTGCGCGTTCCCCACGCAAGGTCTTCAGCGCGGTATCAGAATCAAATTTTTCTCTCTAAAACGGTACCGTCCGTACCTCATCGTCTCGTTTTTCACCGTTGGCCATCGAAAAACTGTCCGCGTCTCAATTGTCCCAAGTTATTGCCGAGGATGTCCTGTTACAACCACTCATGGTGTCTCATGTCTATTCAGTCAAGATCTCCGTCGTCGAGGTGTCCGCTAGCCAATACAGATCGCCGAGAAAAAAACTTGTTTTACTCGACCCAATTGTAGGAACACCCAGCAGAGAATGGGGTGTCTAGCTGCGCTCAAAACGCCGTCTAGCACCGCTTGACATAAGTGGGGAGCATTCTAAAGCGGTTTTCTAACACTTCTTCAGAGTTTACGAGAGGCACTTGAAAGCTCGTCACAGTTCACTCGGCGGCTAAAGGCAAATTGCGAATTAGCGAGGCGCCTCTTCAGAGTTCACCGGACTTCTTCGAGGCCCTTATTCGATAGAGCAAAGGGAGAGGTTTATCCTTCCATCGAGGATTCACGTAACATAGGCTGTCCGGCATTTATCCCCCACAGATACATTCCACGGAGGCCTACCCTTTAGGAGATGACGTTTGCAAATAAAAGTACGCGCCTTTGAAGGCAGTGGTACGATGGTTGTGGATGGGCGGTTGCTGCTAACGTTTTGCCAGGCGTTTTGTCACCGCTTCCGCCAATGACGTTCGCAGCGACCGCCCGCCCCTAGCTATCGTGCCTGCTGCCTTTAAGTGACTCACCAATGAGGAAAGGAATAAAACGAATCAACGAAACGGTTTCAAGAGGTCCCCCTTATGCTATCGCCCTTGACAAGCGTATGACTTCATTGGCAACTGCAGCAAGCGGAATCTGTAAGAGGTGCTTTCAGCGGAATCTTTTACTTTTTTTTCCGGTGACGGTCAGCTTGGGATCTACACGTGTATTTTCAAAAGCCCATCACTCACGTCTGAAAGAATGTGGAAGCTTCATCGCAAGTAACATGTCGAGAGGTGATCAACCGATGAGTGAAGCGAACAATAGCCATATGGTAAAGAAACACTGAGCTCTGAGGTATCGAACAGAGACTACACGATGAAGGGTGGGGAGTGGGCGCACGATAGCTGTTCTACACGCTGTACGTGCGGCGGGAGTATTCAGGAGCACAACTTCTGCGATCAGAGACCTACCCAGATCATAGGCAGAAGGAGCTGCACTCAGCTCCTTCTGTCGGTGAATCGTAGACTGCGTCCTTAGGGCGTACGCGTTCAAAATTTGTGAAGACGCGCGTCTACGCGCTGCGACCAGCATCCTCCTATTCTCCTACATTCCGTCGTCGTCGCGCTATCACTGCAATAGCGCTCCATGCTTTAGATGGAAAGGAGCGTACGCAGTCATAAATAGTTACAGGAAAACAGGCGGATCGCAGTACTCGGTGGAGGACGCTCCGAGGTGAGGTGAGGGACCGAGAGCATTATTATGCCTACACCTGTAGCCAGCTGCTGTCAAAACAGTCCCCTATTCCAAGTGGTCCGCGATGTGCCTACAAGCGTTTGGCATCGTTGTCCGCATTCGCAGAGAATATACCACTTTCGTCACTCGAAACGGCGAGATAAAGAAGCTAGAGACGCGTGATTATTGCAACCATTGCAACCACGATTACTTTCACTCTGCAAGACAACGGCTTACAAGCGGAATTGCGTGTGTACATAGCGTTGCCTGGAGCGTCGTAGGGTGATTTCCTGTGCTCTTGCCGGGAATCGGTTGCACGTCGAATCCTGCTGATTGGGCTTGCCGACGTCCGTCAAACTATAATAGTCCAAGACTAGCACTGCTAAGGGAGGGGTCTGCACTAAGGGTGTTCCCAAATCTTTTGTTGCTTCCTTCTCTACTGGGGTGTTATCTATGGGTTAGTGGTTCATGATTGGGTTTCTACTACCCGTAACACTTGACGGGAGTTGTCTC